CAATGACACCAGCTTAAGTGGAAAGGGAAAAAACTGAAGTGGTACCAGTAAGGGCCTGAATACAGCACTTAAAACTATCAGGAATCCAGGCATCTATGAGTTTTATCTCTCTCTCCCTCTCTTTCTCACACACACTCACTCACACACACACACACACACACACACACACCCTACCAGCTTTATGCGCACATAGCTGCTTGTGTGCCCAGCAGAGAAGAATATCTTTCAATCTCAATTCTAGTCCTAAATTCCATTGGTCACAGAAACTAAATGTGGCTGCTGAAGGGCATCCCTTGTGGGTAAGCACATAGTTATTCCAGAATTGAGATCATTATCACGGTTGTCTGCTAGTCTTTATCTTTTTCTTTTTAAAATTTTTTTTAATTTTAACTTTTTGGGGGTGGGAGAGGTAACTGGGTTTATTCACTTATTTATTTACTTACTTACTTAATGGAAGCCCTGGGGATTGAATCCAGGACCCTGTGCATGCTAAGCACACACTCTACCACTGAGTTATACCTTCCCCCTCTTTTTTTTTACTGTAATATTAAAATGTTCCCATATTATTAATTATTCCATGAAACATTTTATATGTCTGCATAATAGTCCATTCCCTTCTTATTGGTTATTTCACTTTTAATCTCAAGTATTTAAAGTATTATATAAGTAATACTATGCTGAACATGCCTACACTTTAATTTTTGTGCCCATATTTGATTATTTCCATTATCATATCAAATGATAATGTTGATCCCTGAGGATCTGGAATTTCTAACTATGTCTAATCATGAAAATCCTTCAATTCATCTTGTTTATAAATATGACTCACATATAACTGTAGTAATTTTTAAAACAAAAATATCCAAAATATTCACTCTCACACATACAGAAAAATTATTATATTAGTTAGGTTTTGTAATTGGGTGTAAATTGATGTAGTTTTCTGTTTCAGACTTGTGATTGTCTTTTGGTCACACAGAATTCTTTTAAGTCTTGCAAGTTTCAAAAGCTGACACTTTTTGAAAACTCAGAGTAAGTTCTTTTCATTTCCAGACTTTGCTATAAATAGCTGCAAATACAATGCCTCACTAGTCAGTTCTGTGAAGATGCTCAGCTTCAGAGACGGCATCTCCTGGAGTAAAGTATCACCTTATTTAAACATGAAGGAGTTTGCAGCATCTAAAAGAATAAAAGATATACACGCATGAAAATGTAAATACTTCAAGATCTGTCACAAGGCAGATACATGTCCCATATGAGGACCATAGCATGCTCAAGAGGGAGAGGGCACTGGACCACCACAGAGTGTGTTTGAATACAGTGCTTGTCTAACATCTTCTCTCCCTGCCTTATTCATCTACTCATCCTTCATCTAGAGTGGGAATTCAGTATGGGTTTATCGACTTGTTCCGTAGACCAGTGGTCAGATCAAAGAAGGGATGGCAGTGATTGATGAGGACTTGAGTGGTGCTCCATAAGGAACTGGGTGGCCACTGACTGCTCATGGTCAGATGTAGAAAAGAAACCTGGATAGGGAAGGGAAGGAATGCCAGGTCTCCTAAACCAACCCTTTGACCTTTGATCTCCTTGGAAGAACCCAATGATGCTACTAACGGGACTGATAGAAGCTAAATGTTTTTCCACATCTCCTGTGTGTCTGTCATCTGGCACAGATTTACCTTCTGTATTTGTTCATTTATAGGAGTGGTGGAGAGGCCAGGCTCTGGATCCAGCGGTGTAATTTTTTAACCTCTAAGGCTCCAGTTGTAAAACAAGGACAATAACAGTGCCGACCTCACAGTGATCTGAGGACTGAATGAGAGATGTACTGTGCTCAGCCCGGTGCCAGGCCCATGGAAAGCCATCGGGAAGCCCCAGTGTTCATCATGTCCAGAGTGAATATGGTTCTTGCTCTGCCACTTTTCACATAGTCAGAGTTTGGAAAGTATTTTCAGCTTTTTTGGGGGGGTCAAACCCCCATGCTGACTCAACTGAGGGAGGTTGATTTAAAACGGAAATGACATTTGATGAATATGTTTATTGTCTAAAATTCATGAAATGCTGGAAAATGTTTTTAAAAATCTAAGATTTCTTTTTAGCTAGAGTCAGAAATTCCCCCAGGGTTGTATGAAAACCTCTAGAAACATTAGGTACCCAGGAAGCGTTTCCAGCCTCCAGACCCTTTCAAGAACACACATCTACTCCCTAATATCATTATTTGCTTGGACACATCGTGTGAACTAGCATCTTTTTAAAAAGTAAAAGGGAAACCTCTGTTGCCCTTATGTTTTAACCAATAATGCATTGGACGTTCCAGGTAAAGTCTACATCAGTTTCCTTCTAAAAGATTGTAAATCTGAGCTTCTTAAGCTAATAGCTGTGGCTATTCTCCTGCTGGTAGCACCTCAGGGGAAAAAAATCTGCTGAAGGAAGCAGACCGCTCAGTTTTGCTGATCTTTTCCTCTGCCTTTGATGCCACGGGCTGGTATCAAGTGTGAACTAAGCTCTTTGAATTCAAAATAGAAGCCCAAATATTGATTTTAATAGAGAACTACCTCTTTATCAGTACAAGTGACAGGGCCTGGGGGAACATTCTTCACATGGGTCTGATAACAATGTTTACTGGGACTATGAGGGGCAGGCCCTGGACCTCTGGACCCAAAGGATTTGAGATCACTTTTGGATGAGCTGAATGCGCACAGAGTAAAACAATAACCACTCTTCCATGTGCAGGCAACGTGATTCATTGTCACACAACAGTAATTATCTTAACAGAGCCTGGCCCTGCTATTTATAACACTATTATAAATCAGAGCTAAAGCTTAATATTTCCAAAGAAAAAGCTGTAATTTTTGGAAAATGACTTCTAACATTTTTGAGAATACAACTCATTCAGTTAACTAAGAGTACATTTTACAAGTGCAAGAAGTACCTAATAAGAAGTTGTGTTAATTAAATGTTAGCCTCCGAGAATGCTTTGTGGGAGATTTTTTTAATAGCATGAAACAGACTAGTTAACACTGGTCTCGAATTTTTTTTTTTTGAAGATAAAAATCATAGTCGTACTCTGGGACAGTGTTTCTCAGTCTTGGGTTATGTGTAGACCCCTTTGTAAAATGTTTAAATTATGCTGTATTTGATACATACAAAATAATATAAAACATGTAAGTAAGGTATGAATTTGTTTTTAATGAAACGACTACCTAACTTAAGAACTAGGGCATGGTCACACAATGGTGAAACCTAACTGTGGGCTCCCCTCCTTCTAGCCCAGGCTCCTGAAGAACCCCCTAACCTGATCCTCCACCAGAATTCTCCCTCCAGGAAATGATGGCACTGTCTACTTCAGTCCTAAAGCCAGAGAATCTGGGAACACCTTAACTCTCCCCTTTCCCTCGGCCCCTGTGTCCGTCACCTACATCTTCACTCTGTATCCCCCATCACAGGGGCATTCAGCTTCAGCTCCTGATCTCCTAACTCCTGCTCCAGTCTGACTACCAGCTCTCACCTGGATCCTGCCAAAGCCGCCTAATTGCTTTTCTTCAATTTATCCTCCCTCCTACAACCGGAAGACTATGTGGAAATGCAAATCTGACTGTGTTGCTTCCCCACTTAAAATTCTTCAGTGGCTTTCCATTAGATTGCAATAAATCTTGGAAGGTCCTCCTGGATCTTGGTCTCACTCATCTCTGCTGACTCTTAGATTCTCCAGCCATAGCTACACTACATTTCCTTTGATTCCTTACACATGCTGTGTATCCTATGGCCAGCACTGTAAATTGTCCCCAGGATCCATTTTCTTCTTTTTAGTAATAGAACCTACTCCACTCTCCTTCAGATTTAGTAGGGCACATGTCTACCCAGTTAGTTACTGCTTTACCAACCTTCCAGGCTGTTAGGTGTGATGCTGTGACTAGATTTTCATGACTGGAATGTGAGGAAGAGTGATATGTATCTACATCCTTAAAAGTAAATTAATTGCCCTTTCTTTTGTCCTTGGAGCTGGAATACAGATGTGGAGCTAAAGAACAATCTTTGATCACGTGGATGAGGAGACACACAAGGGTGATGGGAAGGCTATAAAATGGAAGGAACCTGTGACCATGAATAACCATGTGGCATATTTGAGCTCTTCATTATAGCAGGTTATCCTGTGCATTAGGCAGTTTGGGTTGTGCTGCAGTAACAAACAACTCTCAAAGCACAACAAACGTTTATTTTCTTTCTTTCTTTTTTTAATTTTCCACTCACACTACATGTCCTTCACAGATCAGTAGAGTGGCTCTGCTCATGTAGTCACTCAGGGATCCAGCCTAATGGAGGGCTTCAGCTAAATGTGACCTTTAATGAGCACACAGCAGAGAAAGGGACTTGGCAAACTGTGCTCTGTCACGTAAAGCTTCCAGCTGGAAGTCAGTCACATCACTTAACAGTGCAAGTCACACAATCCCACCTAATTCAACAAGGTTTAAGGATGAGTAATCCTGTTGTGTTCCCCGAAGGAAGAGAAAACCAGAACATTTGCAATGAGGCCTGATGACTATCTCAGCTTCTACCTTAATGTGTCTCGGCCTGTGCTCCCCCCAAAGTGATAACCCGTTTCTATAGCTCAAACGTTTGTAGGATTTTTCTTTATGTTTCGAAATTTACATTTCAAAAATTTCAGAACACTTGATCTTCTCATTAATTCTTCCTGTAGTCATTACCCTTGGGAATCCTAAAGTAACTAGTTCTTTTACATAAATACCTCCCAAATATTTATCTAAATAGCTATGTACATATACAAACTCTTTCCAAAGCTCTAGTACTAGTTTTCCAACTGCCTCCTACTTGTCAAACTCGACAAGCTAAAAACAATTGAACATATTACCCTTATTCACCTCTTAAATATGATTCTTCTACTGCATTTATATTCTTCTTCTTCTTTTTCAGTTTTGTTTCCTTGATCTCTATATCTCCAGCCCCTAGAATAGTGCCTGGCCTGAGAAGGGGCACTATATACTCAATGAATGAATGGATACTGTCATGACTTGACAATGGCTCCCAAGCCCGGAATCGTCTCTGACTCCAATCCCCTCCTTACTAATCTGCATCATGGCCTTACTACCTGCCACATTTGGCTATTCAGATGCTCATTATCAGATTATTGCAATAGCTTTCTGACAGCTGTCCTCATCACCAGTTTTTCCATTCTCCCACCCCTTTGACACAGCACTCCCATATCAATTTCCTTGAAGCCTGCGACTCATTCTATCACTTATTCTACAATCCTGTAAGGAACAGGTATTGTATGCAAGTGCTGTGCTCTGTTCTGAATATAAACGGGAATAACACACAGTCTACATGCTTGAGCAGTTCCTGATCCAGTGGGAGAGAGAGATGTGTCCAGAGATACAGAGCAGGGAGAGCAGTGCCAAAACAGAGGAGTGACAGATGTGACAGATGCCAAATCAGTCAAGGAGTCACAGAAGAGAGGACATTTACCCCATGGCCTAACAGAGAATTAGCCATTTTCCAGGATCAGCATTAGACAGAAATAAGGGCTATTTATCTTTTGAGTCAGGAGGAAAAAAGGAAAGAATGTGTGCTAACCGAGGTTAGATTCGAAGTCAGGGTGGGGGAAGAAAACTGATGGCGACTGTAACTGAGGACCTGTTTTCTCTCTGATGGGTGAGAAGGATGAAGGACAAGTCACTGGGCTGTGCCGTCTTCCAGCCAGATGTGCTGCTGGCTGCGGAAGATGGGTTTGCTCCCCAACACCTACTGGGAACCTCTAGCTACATTCACAACATTCGATTTAATTCTGCAGACAGGCACTGATGTCCTGGAGCTGCTATTTGGCTACGTTAGGATGCCACTGTTCCCTGCTCTTCCTTGCAATTTTCTACCATTCAAGCTGCAGTCTGGCTTTCCCTAGAATGCTTAGATAGACACTGCTTTCTCGAGGAGGGAGCCTGAAGTCAGATGAATTGCTGCATGGATTTTATAAATTCATAGCAGACTCAGTTGCTTGGAAGCCATAGCACTGCATATTTACATAAGCCAGGCTTTTTTTGAGAGAGAAAATAGGAGCGTTTTCCTTTGGCAGGGTGGGGGTTTTGGGGGAGTATTATTTTTGGAATTCCAAGGGCTGATCTTTGAATATAGAGCCAAAGCTCAGAAAATTAAAGCATAGATTTTGTAAATAAGCCACGAAGAACGGAAAGATCACAAAATAACAGTTCTTGCCACATGGTATCATCTCCCCCACCCCCCAACACACACGCATACCATTAAAAGGAATATAGTCTGACCAGCAGGCAGAAAGATGTGGAGTTTTATCATTTACTTTAAGTGCCTCTTTTGTGCAAGGCTCTTGGGAAATAAAAGAAAATTCCCTTTTAAAAAAAGATCCTGTAGCTGATGAGGGTGGTGAACAAACCTCCTCAGAGACACGTGAGGAGTGTCCTTCATCTTCACGCTGACCTAGATTTTGTTCTGATTCCTGACTCTGTGCTTGGGCTTCCAGAGAGCATACAGCTTTTGATAAGATCTTCCAGAAATGTTCATAGACCTTTCCTGAAAATTTTCCAGGAGGACTAAAAACATAACTTTATTAAATACACAGATCACCTTGACAAACTATCAAACACCAGCAGGAACAGGGGAATAGATTTAGCAGCATGCCCCCCCCCATCATTTGATAAATACCTAAAAATGGGAAACTGAAGGCTTTTAAAAGAGAAAATCTAAGCTCTAACAGTTCTCCAAGGCCCATGCTAGAAAAGCCTTTATAGCTAAATAATAATTATTGGGCAAACTAATTAAATTACCTTTACAGGAAGAAGCACACTACTCTTAGCTTATGCTGCAAACGACAAAGGATTACCTTGAAATCTCCTTGAATTGGTCTGGAGTTGCTTTACAGTGAAGAAATTCTGAAAGACAGAAGGTTTTCTTTCTTTTTCTTTTTCTTTCTTTTTGTTTGTTTGATTATTTTACTCTTTTGTGGGCTGATTGGTAAGAAAAAAATGAATGCCATTGAAACTAGCATTTTTTTCTCAAAAGATAAATTCTCCCTCCATTCTTTTTGCAATATAAATTTTGGTATTGCTCAAAAGAATAGGGCATGTTTAAGGGAACTTTCTTTTAAAAAATCCTTTCGATAGAAAGAAAGAAAAATAATCTAGACAGATGGGAAAATACCACAACTCCTTTAACCCTCAGTTAATGGTTATGGGAATTGGAGTACTGTTAACTTTCCCTCAAGGAAACGTCAAATGTGCATCACCAGAGAAGACCTTTAATCAACCCCTAGGACTCCAAGAGAAGGAGGAACACAAGGAATTTCACAAGCTATTTCAATCACTTGGAATTCTGTTAGGCAAACAGAGTCAATTCTGAACATGCATGTTATGGGTGCCGCCAGTGCCCCACCCACATCCTCATCATCTGGTGGCAGCGCCCGCGCCCCAGCTGCTGGGAGCGTTGGCCCCTGGTGCGGGGATGGTTGCCCCCTCTGCAAGCTCAGCACCGTCAGCTGAGTGAGTCTCCTGTCTGGGAGGCGGTGTCCCGCCCCAGGAATGGAGGATGGGACAGCTGGCAACCGATGGCCGCCTGACACAGAGGCACAAAGGCTGGGCTCTGCCTCAGGGTGAGGCAAGCTCATGGGACAGTTGTGGTCCAGAGCATCCTGATGGGGCCCAGCTGAAACCAGTCTGCTGGAGAATCACCTTCATGTAGCCTTCCTCACCTGTCAGATCTCGCTCCCCCAACTTTCTCTCTCCCTACAAAGTTCTTCCGCCAGAATCCCTGTCTCAGGCTCTGCTTCTAAGGAAGCCAACCTAAGACAGTGCAACTCAATAAAATCTGAAACCCTCTTTCACCATTTCTACAATCTCCTTTCTGACCCCTTTCCTCCAGCCAATATTCATTTTTTTTTACATTTCTTTCTTTCTTTGTTTTTAATCAAAATCTTCCCTTAGGAAAGGTTCTGACAGCATCAGCTTCATACACATTTATGATGTACTAGGTTTAAGGGTCTCTCTCTCCTGGGATATTTGCATTTTAACAGGACACAAAGACCATGACTAGAATTAAGGGATTCGTTGTTACTGGCTAAAGAACTTCAAGGGGGTGGAATTAATTTAGCACCTAAAGCAACACATCACATGTCAGTACATAC